GCTGCTCTCTTACTCGGCATATGGGCCGGGTCTTTAGCTGCTAATTGTTAGCGTGTTATGGAGGCCATAATCTGGTTTTTGGGCCAACATAATTTATTTCATTCGATCAAAGGAGGCCATAAAAGTGAAGAAGCATGAAAGCTACTAATGCTACTAGCTATTTATGGCAAAATCAGAAGGCATTATTTCTCGGAGAAAGGTAAGAACTGAAATTCTACTCCTGAGTTATTAATGAATGACAAAATTAGAATCTTTCTTTCATATAGTTTTATGCATGGTATTGAGAAACCTAATAAATGCTCAAAGAAAGATAGAATTAGAATTTATTCTATAGAGTTTCATGTATGAAATTGAGAAACTTTGTGAATGCTGATAATAAGCAAACTAGAATTGACGCATGAATATATTGATATTGAGATGTGCTTTTCTCAGTTATTAGAGTACAATTTTGTGTGGATGCTATGAAGTATAGTAATTTTAACTATATGAATGCATATTCTATGATAAATATGCTAGTGAAATGGGTTGTATGTCCATATTAATTTTATGGAAGGAGTACTGGTTGTCATTACTAAACGTGCCATTCATGCGTGAACGAACGAAAAAGGTTCAAGAATCACAATAGAAAACCGAATCAGATTCACACCAATTAGAATTGTACCCTTCGTGGTAACCAAAGGATCATCGGCCAATCCTATAAGAATGGCACTTTATTTCTCTGTAATGGTTGCGAGAAATCAGGTCATATGACGCGAAAGTGCAGGAACAAGGATAACACTGGTTACGTGTTAACTTGATTGAAGAGGAGGATTGGTGGTTGTGATGATTGTGAAAAGAGCAGAGATTAACCTTGCTGGTAACTCTGAAGAATGGTGGCTGAATATTGGCACCTCGAAGCATACTAAGGCATATGCGATTAAGAAAATGTTGTTGAGTATTGTTCATTCCACTATTGACAGTGATCATGAGAGTATACATATGATGATAAGTTAAAGTCTTATGGGTCTCGAATGCACGTCTTTGACGTACATCTAGAAGAGTTGAATAGCTAGGGTCACATTCTCGTAACGGTTGATATGTAATTTCCATAGCTAAGCTAATATGCCCATAAATATGAGATTAGAGAATCATAATCTTTGATATAACACATTTGATATGGGCAAACGTGATGAAATGCTTATTTGGAATGGCTTGAAATGCTTTATTGCATTATTATTGATTGCTCTGATTATTTGGTTGGCTGGTAAAAGAATTAGAGAATCTATATGATTACAAGTAAGCATATGATTGTATGTTTATTGGATATGCTATAGTAAAACACATAAAAACAAAATACTCATTAGTTTGTGAAATCCATTGATGTCAATAGATTCCATTTATATTAAGAAATAGTGGGGGTGATATCATGCCTACTATTAGAAATAATGGATAACTAGTGGGGGTGATGAACCCGGGTATGAACTTAGAAGAGAAACATGAACCATAAATCGCGAAAAGATTTTGATTATGAATTTGTTATTTGCACCCTAAGAAAGATCCTACAAGTCTGCTTGAAGTTTGAACTTCTATAAAGATGCAGATTTGTAGGATGATCCATTATTAACGAAATGGAATCTGTGGAGTCTAAAAAGACTTAGAATCTTGTAGAGTTACCTCTTGGTTGTAAAGCCTTGGGTAATATATTAGTGGAATCGAACAAGATTTGACATCCTTAAGAATTACCTCCTGGCAATGAAGCCATAAGTAATAAATGGATTTTTAAAAGAAAAACCAAAACCTGATGGTTTAGTCTATGAGTATATGGATTGCCTACTAGCTAAAACATTGGGCGAAGATGAGGAAAAAAATTGTGGATTTCTTTGATATTTATTCACCACATCTAGAATAACATACATGTATGTTCTGATCGCTAGTCTTGTGCGTCAGATAGATTGTTAAAACTGTTTCTGTGAATGGTGGTTTAGATAAATAAATCTACAGGGGACAACCTAAAGGGTTGTTATTCCTGAACGTGCTTCTGGAGTCTTTGGTTAGACAAATCATGGTAAGATTTGAGAAATAACTCTAAAATAGCGGCGTAAGTAATCAAATTCTCTCTCGTGGTTTTAAAAATGAAAGTGACAAGTGCATTTAGTACAGATTTGAGAATGACACTTGCATTATGAATGACACGTTGATCTTTGGTACAAAGACTCGTCATTTCAATACTATGAAAAACCATGTTGTTTGAGAATTATGAAGGTAAAAGATCTGGACAAAACAAGTGTTATGTTTGGAGATCTTCATGACTAGTAAAATACAAGTTGTACACCTGCATACATGTTTGATGATGCTAGTGTACATTCTTAAAGAACACCTTAGACGGTGTAAGAAAGTTAGAATATACTAGCATTGACAGTCTGCAAGAGGCAACTGATAAACATAAGACCCGACTTAGTGAGGGTACTTGACAGACTTACTGATTGTCCTAATATGAAGCATTGAAATGCTATTGAAAGGTTCATGAGACACCTTAAGAGAACAATAGACCTTGATAAAAGTTATCAACGGTTTCTTGCTGTATTGGTAGGGGATATTGATGCGGAAGAGAATACCCCATAGAAGATTCCAAGGCATCCAGTGGACATGTTTTAAACATCACTAGAAGTGTTGTGTCTTGGAATTCTAAGAAGTAAACGATCCTGGCTCGACCAACTAAGAAATCAGAAATTATAGAGCTAGCAATGGCTAGTAAAGAGAAAAGTTGATTGAGAGGGTCATTACTAGAGATTTCATTATGGGAAAGACCGATCCCTCCGGTAGTTGATTCATTGTGATAGCACCGCAGCTATTACTAAAGAAGGGAACCACTAGAACGAAAAGAGACGACAAATTCGTCGTAAGCACAGTACTTTAAGAGAACTCCTAGCGATAGGAGCAATGAGGGTGGATCATGTAAGGTCCTAACAGAATCTAGCTGATCCTTTAATGAAAGGATTATCTAGAGAGAAAGTCCAAAATACCGTCAAGGGTATGGGACTTATGCCTACCGAACCACGAACTACAAGTGATGGTAACCCGACCCAATAGACTGGAGATCCCAAGAAATGGGTTCAATGGGTAATAACAAGTCATGAGTAATATGCAAAAATTTCATGCATAGTGAAGCATGAATCCCAAAGCAATGGAGGTTGAGTTAACAACTCTTAATGAGATCTATACCCTATGTGGGGTGGGGTACTTTACCTTGGGGGTACTTCTGATAGACTCACCTATGTGAATGTGGGAGTGGGGCCGCTCCCTATGGATCTTTGGAGGCACAAATTTGCTAGAGCGTTCACTAAACCGAGATAACATGCATGGCCATAAACGCACGGCCTATGGAGAATAGCACTCAATGAAAAGATCCGGTGTACTACATTGTCTGAGATAGGGTTCAAGACTACGAGTCACCCTTATGAAATCGGAAGTGTAACCACTACGCTAAGGTTCAAATCTTCGTGATACCTTAGTTTATGCCCGATCTTATGGATCTGTTGATGCTCAGAGATAGTTTCAAAACTATTCAAGTGGGGAATTGTTGGGAATGAATAGCTTTGAAAGCTATATTGAATTAATTATCCCGTATTCGTTTTAGATACGAAAATAAGAAGGATAATTAATAAAAAATAATATTATGGAGATAATCAGGATTAGTTATCTTAATATAATATATATTTTATTTATGTGAGTAATTATCTTCCTAATTAAAATGTGGCTTATTTCCAAAGAAAGAGGGAATATTTTAGGTTTTCTGCTCCTATAAATAGCAGACCCCTAGACCCTCTAAATAGATATCAGAGAGCAGAAACACGAGAGAGAGTGAGATTCAAAGAGCTCCGGTTTTTCGCACAAAACCGCTGAGCAAATCAAACGAGTGGCTGTTTTATCCTAGAGGCGACCGGCTGATAGTCTGTCATGCACAACGAAGCAGTGTCGGGAACGTCTTAAAGAGAGCGACCTAGTGTCCTAGTCCGCGACTCAGCCAGATCGGTAACCCTAATTTTTCCTATTCGATTTCTAACAGAGGGCAGCTGGGGGATTGAGAATTTCAGATCGAATGATTCAATTGAAGAAAGCCTTTTTCCAGGGACGCGGGCAGCAGGGGATTGGTAGTGGGGATTAGAATAAATTAGGGTTTTTTATTTATTTTAAATAAAAGTGATAATGAGGTGGATATGAGATGATAATTTTAAATAACTTAATTTTATTATTTTTAAATTGCCACGTCACACATTAAACGGTCAATTTTTAGAGTTGACCGTCACATAAGTAAAAGTTAACGCAGTTGGACAGAGAGTGACCAAACGTGAACAGTTTCAGTAAATTGAAGTACCATCAATGAAGTTAAATATTTCGAGTGACCAAACTCGAACGTTTTTTTGTAATCTCAGTGACCGTTTTTTTGTAATCTCAGTGACCAATCATGCAATTAACCTATACTCGCGGGTGAGGGTATAGATAAAAAAAAATTTCTCTTAGTGTTGTCTTTATTAGAATGGCATACATTTGTCTTTAATGTTAGTGCTACTCAAGAGATCGAACCTCCTATTGTTGAATCTACATGTGAGGATTCACATCCTACCCGAAGTCGTTGACATTCCCAAAACTGACGATTTCTTATCCCCGTTATCGGAGGATGAAATAGATCTGAAGCAGCCAAGACTTAAAAATAGAGCAAGGAAGGGGGGAAAAGTATACAAGATTAAAGCTACAAAGGGAGAAGACACAAGTACGTACACCATTCAGGTATGCATCTCCCATTGCGATACCTTATATGGTATAAATGAATCGGAGGTTCTCCAAATCAGAAGCTGAGGGTTCATAATCAATGAAACTGGGTTCTCCAGACCCTCTGCCCTAGAGAACTGAGAACCGAAAACCATCACCTGAAGACCTTAAACAACAACTCGAAAAGCATAAATGTAATCCTTTGAACTTTGATGAAGACTGTACACTCCATTTGAAAGACCAGACCAACTTTAAGCCCAATATCCATCATTCCCGGTGCGTCTCACTGGGAGGTTCCCATGATCACTCATACTCCCTCTCAATCTGTAAAAGGATGGCTTACTTCTCACCGTTCTCAAAGGACCAGACCTATTCCCTTGCCTGATAGGTGATGAAAATCGTTCCCCAAGCAAACTCGAGGCTGAGAGAGGTCGGTTTTCCAACTCTTCAAGTGGACCTGAACTGTACTCCATTGTAATGAAAGGTGAGGCTTGCCCATATGTTAGATGAGGGGAGACTGCACCTGCATTCCACCAACTTCTGTCTGAAGGAACGAAATCGCCTTTCAAATCTGAATCATCCAGTGTGGAAGACTCCTTTTGGCTGTAATTGTCCTCCGCACATGTCTCATCAGTGTCGTTGTAGATCAGTTTGAGAGCCTGCACAACTTCTCCCATAAAAGGTCTGCTAGTTACTTCCGGGTGGACACACATCGAGGCAATGGCTGCCACCTTGGCCATGTCATCAAAGTCATAGCTTCCAGATAAGGAAGGATCAACTAGCTGCTCCAACCCTTCTCTTGTTGTCAGAAGCGGACGTGCCCACGTTACCAGGTTTTCCTGCCCTGAAGGTTGGGACATATCCACAGGTTTTCTTCCTGACAGAAGCTCAAGTAACACAACCCCGTAACTGTAGACATCACTTTTGACAAGCAGATGCCCTGTCATTGCATATTCTGGAGCAACATACCTGCCAAATCAGGAATTAGTGGACTTTAGACAGCCAAATGAAGGAGATTTTTTAACCGTTCCCTTGTACCAACTTGTTGCATCACAAAGAACGGTAATATCACAGCTCTCAGGAACGGGGGGTACAGACAGATTACTGCATGCACGATGAGGAAATTAGAAGAAAAAGATATATGCATGATTACCCGAATGTTCCCATGACCCTAGTAGATATATGATGGCTCCCTTCAGTTGCTTCCCTTGCCAAACCAAAATCAGATACCTTGGGGGTGAAATCATCTTCTAGCAAAACATTACTAGCTTTGAAATCTCGATGAATCACGCGAGGATTAGAATCTTCATGGAGATAGGCAAGTCCTCTAGCTGCTCCAAGGGCAATCTTCAACCGTGCATCCCAGTCAAGGTATCCTTGTTGTTTATCAATACCTGAAACACAGCTAAATACACTAAACTGAATTGTACCAACCAGTGATTCTGCTTGACGGAATTACACACAGTAGAAAGGGCTTTTACTCATTAGTTCAGTGGTATAAAGCATTCTAATCTTCACAAGGAGAATACCACAATCAGGGAAGTAATATTTGAGACAGAGCGTATGACAATTTTAAACGTTAAAGATGATGGCACGTACCATGCAAATGAGATTCAACGCTACCATTATGAACAAGTTCATACACCAAACAGCGCGTACGCCCTTCAATGCATATACCAATCAGTTTGATGAGATTACGGTGATGCAATCTACTCAGCATCTCAACTTCTGCAATAAACTCACGGTCGCCATTCTGATTTTCCCTAGTAAGCATCTTCACTGCAACTTCAGTCCTGTCCTCCAATAGTCCATGATAAACACGTCCAAATCCTCCTTCCCCCAGGATCCTCTTTGAACTGAACTTCTCTGTAGCCCTCACAAGCTCCAGATAAGTAAATGCTTTTACAGATAACATACAAGGAGCCATGTTGGACATGAGGGATACTGATGTTGAACTTGCAATACTACTTGTTAAGAAGGATCCGACACCTGCAATTAGACAACAGACCTCATAAAAATTCAGCACAAGTAGTAAGGCAGAACTAAGGTCCATTAAGTTAAAAAATTGTATTGTCAAATTTGACACATTCAAACAACCAGTATACTCCATCAGACAGGAGCATGAAATTGTTCAAGAGGCTAATTAAGATAATGACAATCAAAATTGGCACAAAATGAGTTACTATAGATAATGTATAAGAGAAGTGGAAACATCAATGCTGGGATTGCACGACAGGAAGTAGTAATGGCATGCTGCTCTTCAGAGAAACCAGTGCTCAGACTAAGGAAATTTGAAAAATAGTACGCAATGGTAATTCTGTCAGGCTTAAAAGGATTATAGAACAGAACCTCCGTCAAATGAATAAGGGGCACATTCGCAAGCAGTACATAATCACAACATTGAAAGCAAATAAGCTCGTACCAAATCTTTTATTGATAGATTGCGGGAAGGCAGGACCAACAGCATTTGACTGTTTCCCAAACTTTTTCCATTTTATGAAAATGGAAACTGCCCCAATTAAGACCAACAAGAGCACAAATGCTGATAATGCGATGATTATTAAGGTTCTAAAGTTCATCCCTTTGTTCTTCTTCACTGGATTGGCAGTGATTGGTAGATCTCCACCACTTCCTGACGGACTGCTGGCTGTATAACTTGGATATGGTGGCGAAGAGGGAATGCCTGATAGAAACTCTATGGTCATGTCCAACACAAGAGAGTAACAACAGAGAGCAAATATCTGGTATGAATGAAATTATTACCTGGATAAACAATGGAAACCACTTCATAACTACCAAAGATAGTCATATTTAGAGGCACTTTCTTATGCCAGAATCTTTGATAAATAAGGGTAGCCGTGGTATTATCAAATTTGTCTCCCAATGGAACCAAGTTAATGTCCACCACTGTTTCTCCCTGATTTTGAGTATCAGCAGTGGCACCCATTATCTTTACCTGACTCTGTTCCAAATAAGCTCCTGTTGCAACCTCAATCTCTAGCTCATTCATCACTGGGAAAATGGTGTAAGGAGCAACAGTCAGAAGAAGTCTGACTTTCATAGGAAAAACACAGCCACAAGGTGAACCAAATGGAGTTGACGTGAGTGGATCCACACAAATTTGGTCACAGCCTGCCAAGAGACATCTATCAGAAAGAACACACTTATATAAATATCAGGAAGATAAGAATTTCAGAATTTTAGATCCAAGAATTACTCGTGGTTTCTGAACGGGATGGAGGGACTACAGCTGCTTTTGGATGGTGATGTCGATGATGGCCACGACGTCTTGGTAAGGGAGCAATTCTAGGACTAGAGGAGACTGGTAAAAGAGAGGTTATGAGTAACATTAATAACAAAAGATGGTAAAAGCAATTGGAACCATTGCCTGATTGCATTTTCTTGTAATACCCGTATTCAGCGGGAAAGGGGCAGGGGCAGGTGCAGAAGATGGGTTATAGGCAGGTCTAAACATATGCCTTTGAGGTGGCTGCGAACGACCAAATGGAAGACCCTTTGAAGTTGACCTTGCTGCAAGCAATATAGGAAACACGTAATCACGAATCTATTGACAGCAACTATACCGCAAGTGAAAGAACATAAAATGCTCGATCGCCTACGTTGTTTCACCCAAATTCCGTTTGAAGGTAAACGCCGAGTAGTTTGCACAGGAGTTAAATACATGTGAAATAACGAGTTCCCTACAAGAGAAGAGTAGATACATGACTACATTGAATAATTGAAGGACATAAGCACCTTGATCCCAGTGGCATAAAGCCGAAGATGTTTGCATGAGTCAAAATCTAGCAAGAAATCATTTTCGAAAATGTTATCAAACTAAGAAGTTATATCTTCAGGAAGACAATCCCAGATTCTATCACTCCGTTTTTCACCATTCCACTAAACAAAACAAAACAAAACAAAACAAACAAAAAAAAAAAAGTGGCATCATGTGGATAAGAAGGATCTCGCATTGGACGGATTTATCTACATGATGTACCAACTCATTGCGACCAGGTTTCCCACACAAGCATACTCATAGACTCGCAGCCATGGAAGGTTGCATCACAAGCTTATAACTAGAAATGCAGGCATAGCCACCACGATACAAGGCAGGCAGCCCCCTCTATACGATATCCAAGCTTGAAAGTGAATAAGAGAGACACAGACTGCAGATAGTGGGGTAGTCTTCCCTAATCCTAAACAAAATTTGTCTCGTAGCAAACTGACTAATTTCGTCTCCCATCGCTAAAGCCGACTGTGCCAGAAGCGGACGGGATAATCACTTGCAAGCAGCAAGTGAAGTTTTGGTATCGCTTCCTTATTCTACAATCTCAAACTGTGTCTTTCAAATCCACACTCAAAGCTTCGGCCGACACCTCATAGCGGGAAATACAGAGAAGTCGCAATTCAAAAGATAAGGCGGAGAGGACAGAAAGCTCGTCAATTTACCTAAACAAGTAAACACAAGGCGAAGTAAGCAAAGAAGCAGCAGCGGCACCCAGGTTCGCATCTTCTTCTCTGGAAGCCAAATCAAACACCATTGTCAAAAGCTACCGACACCGTCAAGCTCAACAGCGTGTCCAGCCGAGATCCAACTGAAGGAGCAGTAACTATTCATAGGGTTTCTTCTCCGCCACCAACAATCCACAATCTCAAACTCGGCAGCCGCCACAAGAGCTGACTGCATAGCTCAAGCGTGGAAAAAATGGGAGAAAGGCTCAAACAGCGGAGTCGCCTCGCGATGCTTTAAAGTAGAGAAGAGAGAGAAGAAAGGGCAGGAGGAGGAGGAGAGGAGACAGTGCCCGTGTGCCGAGCTGCAGATCCATGAAATGCGGGCCCGAAAATCTAGGGAGACAAGTCGTCGCCGCCGTCGTTCAGAAGTTCCGTCAGAGAAGGGGAAAGAAAGAAGACAGCCACGAGGGTGTCAATGGACGCCGGAATTTTCAGCTGAAAGAGGTAGGTAAGGTAATGGCAGCGTATAGTTGTTGCGATGCGAGAGAGTAGATTGAACAAGAGTTGGTTGAAGAAAGAGACCAGAAAAGGAGGGAGGGAAAGGGGAGCCTTTATTGCGAGGCTTTACGGAGGGAGGGAGAGCAGCATTGAGTTGAGTATAGTGGAGTGGGAGAAGGGAGCAGTGTGTGTTGCTATAGCATTACGCTGCTAGCAAGAAATGATCATGGCTGTATTCCTCACGCGTCCGGACCCTACTTGTAGGAGAGCGTGTAATTACGCGCTGTAGTTGGACGAGGAATTTGCTACTGTTTTCCATTGTCGGTTTGTGCTTCTCGCTTAGTGTTTTTTTTTTTTTTTTCAAAATACACATATATAGCCAAAACTTTGACGATTTTCCCAATAATAACCACTTTCTGATAAATACACAAAATAGCCACTTCCATCAAATTCTTTAATGGTGTCATCTAACTAGCTGACTTGACGACCTTTAAATAATAATAAGCTGATGTGAAATTAGCTGAAAAATAAAAATAAATTAATCAATCCATTTTTATTTTCTCTCACCCTTCCCACCCCTCTCTCGTACTTCCCGTCGCCAGCTCCACAGTAGCAAAGCCACCGCACAGCCACCGAAAACCCATTTCCCCAACTCCACTTTGTACACAATCCCTAACCCGCTCTTCCCCAAGACATAAGTCGATGCCCTTAACAGCTCGTCCAGCTCAAAATTAAACCCTTTGTCCGTCAAGACCAGATCCCCTTCTCCCGATTCCACTCCTCCACTGCCTCCTCCTTCCGTGCCGCCGCTTGCGTCGCTTCCACCTCGACTGGGTTGGTGTTCTTCTTATTCTAATGAATCGTTGACAGGGAAACAAGGTGGAAATCAGAGAGGTATAAAACACACCTTATCATATGCATGAGAATAAGAGTGGGGTTTAGAATGAGATTTCTTGGAGTGTGGAGCCCTGGCCGGCTCTTTCCCAAGACATGAGTCGATGCCCTTAACAGCTCGTCCAACTCAAAATTAAACCCTTTGTCCGTCAAGACTAGATCCCCTTCTCCCGATTCCACTCCTCCACTGCCTCCTCCTTCCGTGCTGCCGCTTGCGTCGCTTCCACCTCGACTGGGTTGGTGTTCTTCTTATTCTAATGAATCGTTGACAGGGAAACAAGGTGGAAATCAGAGAGGTATAAAACACACCTTATCATATGCATGAGAATGGGAGTGGGGTTTAGAATGAGATTTCTTGGAGTGTGGAGCCCTGGCTGGCTTTTTAGTGGGATCAGGATGAAGCTCGGGTTTGACAATGGTTTCGATTTCATATTTGTGTTTGAGGGAGTTGCTTTTTAAGAAGAAGAAAGTGATGAGCGCTCCGAGAAGTACAATAGGGAGAAGAGCGTCCATTTCGAGCAAAAAGGATCAGAAGCTGAATCGCAGTCAATGGTAGAGAATCCGCAAGTGGTTTTGTTGTCAAATTGAAATTGGAACCGAAGATGAAAGAGTAATGATTCTAATGTTTGCTACTATGGATTTGTAGAGATACTGTCGTCGTCTACAGCTGAAGGCTGAAAGAAAGGCTGGTGCTCTGTTTCCTACAAAGGGTCCGCAGGGGAAGGGAAAAGGTGGAGGAAGGGAAAGGGTTTGCTGAGGAAGGCGAAGAGGCATAAATGATTTATTTATTATTTATTATGTTTTTGTGATTATATTTTTTTTATTAAAATATGACGTGTCCAAGTTGTCAATGACGTGTCGAGTGAGTTGGAAGTCCAATAAACGTACCGTTAAAATAACTAACGGTGTTAGTAACGTCGTTAATGTTTGTAACGGAAATGGCTATATTTGTCATTAAACTTTCAAAAGTCTGGCTATTTTTGGTATTTCTCCAAAAGTGGCTATTATTGTCACAAACGCTAAAGTTTTGGCTACACAGATGAATTTTGCCTTTTTTTCAAGGTTTAGCAAACCCTACCGTACCAGCCAGTTGCACCGGAAACAATGGATACCGGACCTAAAAACAATAGTTGGTTTTAACGGTAAGAAACTATTCAACAACGGTTATAGTATAAAATACCCTATCACTCACTTTTTCTGTATAATATTCGGTACGGTTTCCTGAACTTATTTTTTAAAATTTTTTATATTTAATTACAAATCAAATCTATTAGAACTTGAGTAACACACGTTTGGCCAGCTAAGAATGGCTGACTCGTCCCGGGTATCACAATTAATTCCCGCCTAAGGTCCAAATATAAACCTGAGTAGGATACAATATAGGGCAAGTATGCTTAAATATCGACTCGGCCCGGTCCGCGTACCCCTACTTCAATTGTTTGAAACATTATCTAACGAATCGGTTTTGGTTGAAAAGATTTCTAATTAAAGTAAAGCAAGACAAAAGTAAATGGTTTTGAAAGCTCTATGTGAGAAGGATCATTCGGGTGTCGCTTCCCCCTAACTACTACCATGGCACGAGGAATTGAATTAATTGTTACGGGCAAGGTGACCGCGAAGCGCAACTTGCCCAATCCGAATCCCAATAGCCTGTCAATTTCAATTCAACATGACTACTAAAATGTATACCTTGCCCAGGTGAATTCTTCAAATACCTCAGCACTTTGTAAGTTGCTTGTAGATGATCTGTGTGTGGATGCTTCTAGAACTAGCATAACTGTTGCACTACATACGTTAAATCAGGTCTGGTTATAGTCACATAGTGCAGCCTTCCAATCAGCCTTCTGTATGACTCAGGATCATCCAATCTTGTTCCTTGTCCTGCTATCAATTTGGTTTTGGTATCTGCTGGTAAGACAGTGCCTTTAGCCTCAAGATATCATGTCTCTTCCAGTAGATCCAAGTTGTATTTTCTTTGACAAACAGACAAGCCTTCATCTGATCTAGTCACTTCTAGTCCCAAGACCAGAAGTACTTCAGAGGACCCAAGAGCTTGATTTTGAACTCCTTGCTTAGAGCCAATGTCCTTAGGTGCATCACCTACCAACATTATATCATCCTTATAAACCAGCACAATTGTTGTTCTACCTCAAATCTACTTAGTAAACATAGAGTAGTCTGAGCTTGACTACGAAAATCCACTCTTCAATAAGAAATTAGTCAGCTTGGCAAACCATTGTCTGGATGCCTGTTTTAATCCATATAAAGATTTCTTCAGACGACAAGCTACCTGCCCTGAACAAGATGGTGGCAAATCAACTTCCAGTGGTACTTTCATGTGCACTTCTTCAGTTAAATCACCCTGCAAGAAAGCATTTGAAACATCTATTTGTTCTAAACTCCAGTTTTTAACTACTGCCACTGCCAACAGGGCCTTCACGGTATTGATCTTTGCTATAGGGGAATATGTATCCAAGAAATCCACACCATACACCTGTGTAAAAGCCTTTTGCAACTAATCTGGCTTTGTATCTTTGAGGGTACCATCAGGTTTCAATTTGACCTTGAACACCCATTTGTAACCAATGGCTATCTTGTTTGGTGGCAAAGATACAATGTCCCATGTCTGGTTTTCCTCCAGTGCAACTAGTTCTTCATTAATAGCTCTTCTCCACTCTACATGCTTCACTACTTCATTATAGCTCATTGGTTCCATCTGTGTGATCACACTCATTGCATATTTTCTATCTTCTATGCTGAGATGATCCACTTCCAAGCAAATAGGATACTTGGTTACTGAAGCAGTTGTGTCAAAACCACCAAACCTTAGTCTTGTGTCTAGCTCACGATCTTAGTACTTAGCTGGTGGTTCATAATCAGCTTGAGGGTCAAGTTTAGGATCATGTTCACCATAGAAATGGAAGGTGAATCATGTGGAAGTTCTGGTTGAGAAGAAGACTGAGACTGTGATGTGGAGGTTACCCCCTATCATTAGAGGGTGGATAAAAAGTGTGAGGTGGAGATGGTGAGGAAAGGGAAATAGTGATAGGTGGGGTAGAAGGAAAAGAAGGAGGGGAAGTTGGAACAAGTGGTGGTGGTGATGCAGAAGAAGGAGGATTAATGTGTCTAAAAGGCAAAATCAACTCATGGAAAACTACATTTCTGGAGACAAAGACTTGATGGTCATCCAGGGAGAGGAGTTTGTAACCTTTAATGCCCTGAGGGATACCTAAAAGAACACACTGTTTAGCTCTAGCATCAAACTTGGTTTTGCCATGAGTGAGAGTGCTAGCATAGCATAGACACCCAAATACTCTAAGATGGCCTAGGAAGGGAGGTTTGTCATACAAAAGTTCATAAGGAGAATGATTGTTCAAGACAGGGGTGGGTAGTCTGTTGATGAGGTAAATTGAGTGAAGGATACAATCACTCCGATACTACAAAGGAAGACCTGACTGGAACCTTAAGGATCGAGCCACATTTAAAATGTGTTGGTGCTTCCTTTCTACCCTAGCATTCTGCTCAGGGGTCTCCACACAAGACATCTGATGTTCTATACCATGTTCCAGATAAAAATCACACATATTGAATTCCTTGCCTTGATCACTTCTAACTGTTTTGACAGTTTTCCAAATTGATTATGTACCAAATGAAAAAACCCTTTCA